ATCAAGTAACTACTTCCTACGATCCAGGTTCACTCGTCTGGCTGCATGTCCCTTCTGCTACACCTGGCCTTTCTACCAAGTTGGTCCCCAAGTATCACGGCCCATATCGTGTGCTACAAAAAACGTCACCAGTGAATTACCTCATTGAGCCACTGGAACCATCTTCTGACCAACGTCGTCGTGGCCAGGAAATTGTCCACGTCTCGAGACTTAAGCCCTGCTACGACCCTCCCGTGTTTACTTGTCCATAGGTCGCCAGGATGGCTCCTTATTTCGCGGGGAGTAATTGTAATGAATTAATGAATCTGAATAACGGACGCTCTGCTGGCAATGAAGAAGACGACGATGATCGGTGGCTGCAGTAGTAGCTCGCGCACGCCGCTCGCCATTAGCCAGACCTGCCTGATAAAGCATATTTTGCCAAGCTGCGTCTGAACCTTTTTCGACGTACAACTCTATTTAATATATATATATAATATATATATATATATATATATATATATATATATATAATATATATATATAATATTATTATATATTATATATATATATATATTATATATATATGGGATATGGCACAACGGGAGCGTTGTCAACAAGGATAAATATATTTATTTCCCAACAGTTTCGGGAGGGGACCTCCCTTCATCAGGGGATGAGTTATATCATCCCCTGATGAAGGAGGTCCCCTCCCGAAACTGTTGGGAAAAAAATATATTTATCCTTGTTGACAACGCTCCCGTTGTGCCATATCCCATACCTTCACGAAGACTAACTGGCCCATTGAATTATTACTCCCACTATATATATATATATATATATATATATATATAATATTATATAGATATAATATAATATATAGAACCACGTTCCATACCACACAATATCTTCACTCATATGGACGAAGACAAACGCAGGAAAGCGCGACGTGCTGAGTATCAGCGTCGCCATCGACGGGAAGCTACCGCAGAGACAAAAGAGAAGCAAGCAGACGCAAAGCGGCGACGGCAACAACAAAGTTCCATACCACAAACAAGGGCTAAGGAACCAAAGGCTAAGCTGTAAAAACGCCAAGCTGATGCGCAGTTGAGACATCATGAAGCGGATGCAAGGCGGCAATACCGACAAGAAAATTCTACGCCAGAGACGATAGCTAATGAAGCTGTGATTATGAAATGAAAACGTAATCCGGAACTCGGAACCTCATATCAGCTATAAAGAAGAATCACTGCTATGTCACAGTGAGTCTCAGCACTATCTCTTTGAATAAAAAATATATAAGTATCACAACCACAATCAGTCTCAATACTATCTCGACTTTAATCACAATAGTCACCTCCCGAAGCTTTGACCCATAATTATCTTCAAAGAGCTTGAAATGCAGTGATGTTTTTGTGTAGTGAGTAAATGCTTTCAACCAGGATCAATTATTCTCTTGAAGTCCTTTGAAAGTTGCTATGTGACCACTTTTGGTTAATGGATTACGGGCAGTTATGTGTGTATCTTTTGTTACGGCTGGCAAGCATTGGTGACGAAGTCCTTCGGAAAGAACATAATTTGACGCCCGATCGCTTCTACCACGCAATACAAATTCGATATTAAAATTGTATTGTGAGAGTGTATAGAGAGTACAAATGTGATTGTAAAGCATGAAAACGTTTCAATGAACTCAGTGTACACTGAAGAAGAGGAAGTTATCTTCACTAATGTTTCAGATTTGGGTGCACGTTAAAGAACCCCAGGTGGTCTAAATTTCCGGAGCCCTCCACTACGGCGTCTCTCATAATCATAGAGTGGTTTTGGGACGTTAAACCCCACATATCAATCAATCAATTCACTAATGTTTCAAGCAGACGCATGGCTCTGTGGTGGAACACCTCCTTGCTGCACAAACAGCTTAGATTCCACTTTCACTCGGACAAAGAATGTTCAACATTTATATTATTTGAGTGTTGTTCATTATTGAGGTGATGGACAAAATGGTTTTCGCTTCTAACAAACAACGCGGACGCCGACGATGCAATTTCTACAAAACAAGCTTTATTGCTAAGCCATTAAACTCCCGCTATTATTAATATTTAGCTTCGTCGCTCCAACTTTTTGACCACGGCGCGGTGGTCTAGTGACTAAGGTACTCTGCTGCTGACCCACAGGTCACGGGATCACATCCCGGCGGTGGCGGCTGCATTTACGATGCAGTTGAAAATGTTGTAGGCCCGTGTGCTCAGATTTGGGTGCATGTTAAAGAACCGCAGGTGTTATAAATTTCCGGAGCACTCTACCACGGCGTCTCTCACAATCATATGGTGGTTTTGGGACGGTAAGCCCCACAAATCAAGCTCCATCTTTGCGGTTACCTCACGCCGTGGCTACATTGATAAATTCCAAACCCAGGCCGGTGCTATAACGATGAGTGTTCACTGCCCAAAACTAGAAAAGATATCGAAAATAAGGTTATACTTATCATTCTCCACTGAAACGTTGCGTATGAGATCTTACGGAAAATACTTAACTGGATACAACAAGGTGGTTATAAGAAACATGTTGCAACGCTAGCAACTCTAGATATTGCTAAAGCTTACAAAAATATGGAACACCATAAACTAATAAATATGCTTATGCTCGTCCATTACCATTGCTCCGAGGCATGAACTTGCATCATATGCACGCCCCACCACGGTGAACTAAAGGCTAATTTACTCGGCTGCTGACCAGAAGGTCTCGGGTTCGAATCCCGGCAGCGGCGGCTGCATTTCCGATGGATGCGGAAACGTTGTAGGCCCGTGTGCTATGATTTGGGTGTACGTTAAAGAACCCCAGGTGGTCGAACTTTCCGGATCCCTCCACTACAGCGCCTTTCCTAACCATATGTTAGTTTCGGGACGTTAAAAACCACATATAAATCAATCAATGGATCATATACAAAAATAAGGCCATACCAGGCCAGCACAAGCTAGCACGTGAATTCGTTTTTGTGAAAACTATCAACAAGGGGAAAGCTTTGTTGTATGAGCAAATGTGCCGTAGCAATGAAGATGTGCATTTCATGTTTGTAAAACCGAGCTGTAACGCCTCCGGGCAAAGCGGGGTTATAGATGAATAAAGAATAAAGAGGGCAGTATTTTTCCGTAAGATCTCATACGCAACGTTTCAGTAGAGAAGTTATAAGTATAACCATGATTTCCGATATCTCTTCTTTTGGGCAGCGAACACTCGTCATTAGCACCGGCCTGTGTTTTGCATTTATTAAAGTAGCCGACGCGTGGTGTGACCGCAAATATGGAGATTGATATTTGAGGTTTGACGTCGCAAAAGCAGTATATGACTATGAGAGACGCCGTAGGGGAAGTCTGCGGAAATTTAGACCACCTGGGTTCTTTAACCTGCACCCAAACCTGAGCACAATGGCCTACAAACTTCCCGCCTCCATGGTAACTGCAGCCGCCGTCGTCGGGATTCGATCCCTTGACCTTTGGGTCAGCAGCCGAGTACCTTAGCCACAAGACCAATGCGACGTCTAGACCAATGCGACCAAAGATAGAGCGACGAAGTTTTTATGAATAATAGCTGGAGTTTAATGCCATAGCAATAAAAACTTGTTTTGCAGAAATGGCAGCGTCGGCGTCAGTGTCGTTTGTTGGGAGCAAAGAATCATCTTGTCCATCACCTCAATAATGAACAGCACTCAAATAATATAAATGATGAACATTTCCCTGTCCGAGTGAAGGTGGAACCTAAGCTGTTTGTGTTGCAAGGAGGTGTTTCACCACACAGCCATGCGCCTGCTTGAAACATTAGTGAAGATAAGTTCCTCTTCTTCTAACACATTACACTGAGTTCATTGACAACGTTTTGATGATTTACAAAACATTTGAACTCTCTATAGAGCCTTCACAATACAACATTATTATCAAATTAGTTGCGTGGTAGAAGCGGTCGGACGTCAAACGTGCTATTTTCAAAGGACTTCGTCACCAAATGCTCGCCAGCCATAACAAAAAATACACAGTTAACTGCCCGTAATTCATTATTCAAAATAGTGCTCGCATAGCAACTTTCAAAAGATTTCAGAGAATAATTGCTCGTGTTTGAAAGCATTTACCCACTACACAAAAGAACCACATCTCAGAGCTTCACTTGCACTAGCCACTTTCAACTTCATTGACTAAATTGTACTCAAAACAAGATACACTTCTCAAATAAAATTGTATGCATTAGGTTGTTTATGTACGCACTAAACACAGGATCATTATCACGTTCCATATCTTTAGGTGAAGATAGGCGTCGCCCGATTTTTGTCTCGGTTTTTCAGGTAATCGACACTTGCTTACCATAGAGGAGGCTGGGCCACAATTTCGGTAATAAAGGCAAATGTAAATGATACGTCATGGTGAAGCGGCAACGTCACCGTCATCGGCACGTGAACTCGAGGCGAATGGTGCCGGGAACGCGGCTGCTGACTCGGTCGGTGAATCACGCCCCAGATGGTATATTGCAAAAGCACTTGCAGAGCCTCAAATGAACGCATTCATTGGTACAGATGCACAAAAATGTGACTAAAAGTCGAAAGTTTCTATATTGAGCTCAAATTTTGAGTCTTCCTATTCTTCTCAATTGCCTGATTTGTCTTTTCTTAAGAGACCCCTTAATTCATGGTCCTTTCCTAAGTGTGGTTTGGAGCCACAGAAGAAAGAGAAGAAGAAGGAATGTTGCACGGATCGTTGTGTGGACGCGCTCTCTCTGACCACGTTAGAATGCTGCTCTAAGACATCGGCATCGCAGAAACGTCTAAGCTTTCCACGCCCACTTCGCCATGAAGAAATCCGCTGTCCAGACGAATCCTGCCAAGAGGACGACCGCCCAAGTGAGTTCCTCCTATGCAAGGCAACAAAGATGGCGAAGCCGGTTGAAAACTGTGCAGCGCCAGACCAGTTGTTATGCTCTGCGAGGCACACGAAGAGTGCAAAGCCGACTTCCATGCGTTCAGATGCTGGCCAGCCATGGTCGGCTCCCTGCCAATGGTCGCAGCCACAGCGCTTCGAGAAACATCTGCACTGCGGAGGACGTTGACAGAAAAGCCACAAGGCTCGTGGCAGAACACCAGCCGCCCTGCCCTTGCGGACAGTGAGAACAGCTTCCACCAAACCAACTTGGCACACCGGCCAAAGCGGCTGCATCAGCTGCATCCTACCGCTGACTGTGACCTGCAGCAGAAGCGCAACGTGAGCCAACCTCACCGCTCTTCGACAAAGTAGCTATTTACCGCAGTGAAATTCCGCTGATTCTTTTGAGCTTCAATCCCACATGCCTCGACTTTTTAGTACCCAACTTGATTTTAAATAAACTTTCAAGATATCAAATGAATTTACGCGTGGCTGCTTTATTTTTGTGCCCATGTTGATTTGGAAAACAGGATACAACAAGCTGGTTCTAAGAAACACGTTGCAATGCTAGCAGCTCTAGATATTGCTACAGCTTACAAAAATATGGAACACCAAAAACTAATAAATTTGCTTATGCTCGTCCATTACCTTACTGCTCCGTGGCATGAACTTGCATCATATTGCCGCGAACCATGCATTGGGTTTGTATATTTGTGTTTGTTTTTCGGCCTGGCTGCGCCAGCCTGTGCTATCACTGTTTTCACAGCGTTTCGAACAAACGCTATCACAGCGTTTCGAACAAACGCTATCACAGCGTTTCGAACAAACGCTATCGAACAGCGCTTCGAGCGTTCCGAACGAACAGCGTTTCGAACAAACGCTACACGGCGTTCTCGATACAATTCGACTATTCGAGAAATCCTCGCCGAGGGATATAAATTCCCGCACAGCCGATGCCGCGCCATTCGATCGCCGACGCTCACTAGCGTGCCCGTCGTTTTGCCGGCCGCTGCTTCGCCGCCTGTGTATTCTTTGAGTTGTTAGGGGAGCACAGGTTCACTCCAATAAACTTGTTTTCCTTATAGACAACTGTGTCGCCTTTGCTGCGTGACATCTGACGATTTAGAGTACTTAGTACTCTACTACGGGAGAGCTTAAAGCCTTTCCCACTGCGCGCAACACGGGGCCAATTATAGAACTGTTATTGATGGCGACGTGAAATACCTCTGGCCCCGCCTTACATCCAATGTCACCCACTACTACCGGAGCTGCCGTCACTGCCAGCGACGAAAAACACCACCGACGAGACCCGCCGGACTCCTGCAACCGATCGCCGTCCCAACGAGGCCCTTCCCACAGATTGGAATGGACCTTCTGGGCCCGTTCATTTGCTCGCTACATCCCGATCCGCGAGCAAATGAATTGTCGTAGCGACAGACTACATGACGCGCTACGCAGAGACCACCACTCTTCCTAGGGGAACTGCACAAGAAGTTGCAAAGTTCTTTATTAACCAAATTGTGCTGCGACATGGAGCCCTGAGGTCCTAATCACGGACCGCGGAACGACCTTCACTGCGGAGCTCATGCAAGGAATCTTACGCTACAGCAACACTGATCACCGAAGAACGACGGCGTACCACCCCCAAACGAACGGACTAACGGAACGGCTGAATAAGACAATCGCGGATATGCTGTCTATGTACGTCGACGTCGAACATAAGACGTGGGACGAAGTCCTTCGTACGTCACGTTTGCGTACAACACGGCTATCCAAGAAACCACGCAGATGACACCGTTCGAGCTCGTCTACGGAAGACGGCCGACTACGATGCTCGACGCCATGCTTCCGCACGTACAAGACTGCGACCTCAACGCCGACGTCCAAGGATACCTCCAACGTGCGGAGGACGCCCGCCAGCTTGCTCGAGTTCGTATAACGGACCAGCAACTGGTGGATGCCGGACGCTACAATCTCCGACGCCGAGACGGCGAGTACCATCCTGGAGATCGTGTGTGCGTTTGGACTCCCATTCGACGACGTGGACTCAGTGAGAAACTTCTACGACGCTATTTCGGACCCTACCGGATTCTACGACGTGTTGGCGAACTAACGTACGAAATGATCCCCGATGGTGACTCCCGTACATCACGACGACGCACGCGGCCCGAAGTCGTCCATGTGGTTCGCTTAAAACCTTTCCACGGACGATGAGGAACTTTTATTTTAATTTGTTTGGACTGTCCCTTATGTTAGCATCGGGTCGATGCACTCTTAGAGGGGGGGGGGGTAATGCCGCGAACCATGCATTGGGTTTGTTTATTTGTGTTTTGTTTTTTCGGCCTGGCTGTGCTGGCCTGTGCTATCACTGTTTTTACAGCGTTTCGAACAAACGCTATCACAGCGTTTCGAACAAACGCTATCGAACAGCGCTTCGAGCGTTCCGAACGAACAGCGTTTCGAACAAACGCTATCACGGCGTTCTCGATACAATTCGACTATTCGAGAAACCCTCGCGCCGGGTAGGGCGATGGCGTACGGTTGAAACGGGATGGTCCACGGCTGGTGTTCGACAGGTATTCTTCGATCTCAAATGGGCACTGGCCGGCTCGCGGGCGGGGTGCGTCGACGGAGAACCCACGCAAACCCAGCCTCTTGTACGGGCAGCGGCGGTAGACGTGGTCGGCCTCTCCGCAGTGGTAGCACAGCGGACGATTATCTGGCGTTCGCCACACCTCCGTCTTCCTGGGCGCCTGGTTTCGGGTTACAGGGGGTCGGGCGGGCGACATTGGGCGGCGGTACGGCGGGGCCTCTTGATACAGGGTTGGGACGGTCGGGGTCGCCGAGCAGCAGCGGAGTAGGTCATCGTTTGTGGTTCATAACATGCTTCCGACGGCGTAGAATTCCCAGTGCTTGCTGAACCTCCTCGCGGACGACGTCAGTGAGGGAGGTGACTTGGGGCGGCGTTACTGGAACAATTTCCTCAGTTCCTCGCGAACGACGGCGCGGATGGTCTCCCGCAAGTCTTCCGTCGCCAATCCAGGGGCGTTTACCGGGTTCACCGAAAGGGTGCTGAGTGGTCTATCGTATTGCCGCAAACGCATATCCAAATCTTCTCGATCATCGAAGCCTCGGTGACGAACTCAGCGATGGTTTTAGGGGGGTTGCGGATGAGTCCAGCGAAGAGCTCTTGTTTAACTCCCCGCATCTGAAAGCACACCTTCTTCTCTTCTGCCATTTCGGGGTCAGCTCTCCGGAACAGCATCTTCATCCCCTCAGCGAACAGTACAACACCTTCGTTAGGTGTTGCATTCGCGTCTCCAGCAAAAGGGCGGCTCGTTCTTTCCGCACAACCGTAGCGAATGTTTTGAGGAATTCGCTCTTAAAGACAGTCCAGTCGGTTAGGGAGCCTTCATGGTTCTCAACCACGTTCGAGCTGCATCATCCAAATAGAAGAAGACATGACGAAACGTTTCTTCGTCATCCCACCTGTTAAAGATGCGGACGCGCTCCAGCTTCTCTAGCCACTCTTCCGGGTCTTCACCAGGAGATCCTCGGAATGATGGGGGCTCACGAGGTTTTGCAGAACTACGGGAGGGTTGGTAGCGCTGGTCATGGTGCCTGCGTTGATCATCGTGGTTTTTACGTCTTCTTTCCTTTTTTTATTCGGGAGCAGTCCAAACCCTGGCTGAAGGCCTTGCTGTCGGCCACTGACACGAGTTGGGCGTGCTTGTCGTGTTGGGCTTGCTTGTCGGCTTGGCAATGGCTTAGGGTTCATGTACCCCGCACCTCCACCAGATGTCACGCAGAAAAGGACGACACAGTTGTCTATAAGGAAAACAAGTTTATTGGAGCGAACCTGTGCTCCCCTAACAACTGAAAGAATACACAGGCGGCAAAGCAGCGGCCGTCAAAACGACGGCACGCTAGTGAGCGTCGGCGATCACATGTCGCGGCATCGGCTGTGCGAGAATTATATCCCCGGCGCGAGGGTTTCTCGAATAGTCGAATTGTATCGAGAACGCCGTGATAGCGTTTGTTCGAAACGCTGTGATAGCGTTTGTTCGAAACGCTGTGACAGCGTTTGTTCGAAACGCTTTGAAACAGTGATAGCACAGGCCGGCGCAGCAAGGCCGAAAAAACAAAACAATAAACAACTCAATGCATGGTTCGCGGCCATATGCACGCCCCACCACGATGAACTAGTGTATGATTTACTCGGCTGCTGACCAGCAGTCGCGGGTTCGAATCCTGACAGCGGCGGCTGCATTTCCGATGGAGGCGGGAATGTTGTAGAGCCGTGTGCTATGATTTGGGTGTACATTAATGAACCCCAGGTCGTCGAACTTTCTGGATCCCTCTACTACGGCGCCTTTCATAATCATATGGTAGTTTCAGGACGGTAAACACCACACATCAATCAATCAATGGATCATATACACAAAATAAGGCCATACCAGGCCAGAACAAGCTAGCACGTGATTTAGTTTTTGTGAAAACTATCAACAAGGGGAATGGTTTGTTGTGTGAGCGAATGTGCCATAGCAATGAAGATTTGCTATTTCATGTTTGTAAATCCGAGTTGTAACGCCTCCGGCCAAAGCGGGGTTATAGATGAATAAAGAATAAAGAGTGCAGTCTTTTTCCGTAAGATCTCATACGCAATGTTTCAGTAGAGAAATGATAAGTATAACCATGATTTCCGATATCTCTTCTAGTTTTGGGCAGTGAACACTCATCATTAGCACCGGCCTGTGTTTAGCATTTATCCAAGTAGCCGATGCCTTGTGTGACCGCAAAGATAGAGATTGATATGTGAGGTTTGGCGTCGTAAAACCACTATATGATTATGAGAGACGCCGTAGGGGAGGTCTGAGGAAATTTAGACCACCTGGGGTTCTTTACCGTTCACCCAAACCTGAGCACAATGGCCTACAACATTCCCGCCTCCATCATAACTGCAGCCGCCGTCGTCGGGATTTGATCCCGCGACCTGTGGTCAGCAGCCAGTACCTTAGCTACTAGATCACCACGACGGGGCCGCAAAGATGGAGCGACGAAGTTACTTTATGAATAATAGCTGGAGTTTAACGCCATAGCAATAAAAGTTTCTTTTGCTGAAATTGCAGCGTCGGCATCAGCGTCGTTTGTTGGGAGCGAAGACTCATTTTGTCCATCACCTCATAATGAACAGCACTCAAATGATATAAATGTTGAACATTTTCCTGTCCGATTGAAGGTGGAACGTAAGCTTTGTGTAGCAAGGAGGTGTTTCACCCCACAGCCACGGGTGCTTGAAACATATTGAAGATAACTTCCTCTTCTTCTAACACATTACA